TCTCTAGGCTTCCCCCAAGTTACTGGTAACTCCCTGAAGCCAGAGTGATGGATATTTGCTGGTCTAGGCTCCACAGTGGCCTGTGGCCAAGCAAGTGTGGGGTTTTGGTAGAGAGCCAGGAGGCAAGTCACAAGGAGAATTCATACAGTGACACTGGAGGCAGACAAGGCCCGTCCCCCCAAATGTAACGGAAGTGACAGCCTGTTTTGAGGAGCCCCTAGATGCTGCCACAGCGACGCCGAGCACCAGGGAGGTCTCTTGCGCAGTCTGTGCACTGGTGTGAACACAGAAATGTAAACAGAAGTTATAAATAAGGACATGGAATGAGAGTTACCTTGGAGCCAAGCCACACTCTGAGGTCTAACCCGAGAGTCCAGAGCCCCCGCCATGTGTGTCAGTTCCTCCGTGTGAGATAGTGGGAGAGTTAGGAGTCAGTATCATCTGAGAATGAACTACTGAAGCTACATTGAACTTCTTTGGGTCTTCCTTTCCCTATCTGTAAAATGGAAATAAAAATATCGTCTTCATACCATTCTGTGAAAATTAACTAATGGACAGCGTCAGGCACAAGGCTTGAACTTAGAGGGGCTCAGTGATGTCACCTAGTTTTTCTCCTTGACCCAGGCTTCCTAGCCCTGCTCCCCAAGTGGGTCCTGATACCAAGGGGAGTGAGTCCGGGGGGGTGAGCTCTTACCTTTGGTTAGGGAGTGAATTCCCAGCTTGACTTGGGAGAAGTTCCCACTTCCAATTTCCCCTCGGATTCGGTAGAAGCCGACCCGCTTCCCCAGCGTGATCTCTCTCACCACCTTCTCGTCCTGCGACATGTCCTGGGTCAGCTTCTCAAAAGGTGTCAGCTGGCGAGACTGACCCTCCTCGTCGTCCTTGCTGCACTCTGTCTGGCAGCCGCTTTCCACGCTGTCCCGCCGGTCCCACCTGGCATAGTGGGTGTTCACCAGGCCACCTCCATTCACGTACACAGCCGTCATCATCCACCCCAGACTCACGTCTCCATGTCAGTGAAGGATCGCCAATCAAAGGCAGGTTGGGGAGGCGTGGAAGAGGCCCAGGGGTGGAGAGGAGGTAAGCCCTGCCAGAGATCTGTGTCCATGAGAGCTGGCCAGCAGGCCTGGGCACAGGGAGCCCCGTGTCAGTTTCAGCTGGAAGAGGGCACAGTCAAATGCACCAGCTGCGCCTGCCGACTCATTTGGGACATTTCACACCTGCTATCAAGTTGAACTCCCCAACTCTGGCAGGATGATCAGGCATACATCCAGTTAGCATAGCCACTTCCCAGAATGGGCTCCAGAAACCTTTCAGCTGGGCCTGCAGGCTGCTGCTTCTCCCGGTGGTTGTGTCCCAGGACAAAAAGCTCCAGCTTGTTATTTCCTTGGATGGCCAGAGGCTATTTCATTCAGGTGCATAGAAGCCTCTGGGAGGCCCCCCGGCCCCCATTGCTGGTGCTTATCTTGGACAGTCTTCATTTTCTGCTTCTTTTGCTGTCAAACAGCAGGGCTCCAAAGACCTAGTAATCTGGACCCCAGAAAAGAAGAAGCTTGCAAATCAGCCTTCTGGTCACACAGGCAGCGAGAGAAGGATTAAATCCCTGCAATGTCACTTTAGCTGGCCTTTATTTAGATGAGCCTTCCCCTAAGCTGTGAGCTGTCTCAAAAATTTGGCAGGTGTTGGTTCATCCTAAGAACAAAGCATAAGGACATTTATTAGCCCAACTTAATGTACTGTATCAGGTTTATAATGAATGTGAACCTTTTGTAAGCAGCGATCTAAAAACACTATAAATTTATGACTCACATTAGTAAGTAGACACTCGATTATATATGACTTGGTGAGAAAAGAAATGTACATAATCATACTCCTCAGCCTACATTTTAGAAAAGCTCCTCACAGCCTATAAATACTTCCAGCAAAACAATTTATTTTTTAATTTCTTGATGTATGTTGGGTTACTTTAGAGTTAGACTTTAAAATAACATGAGAGTAATGATGATAAAGATTTCCTATGAATATCAGTTTTCAAAAGTTCTTATGTTTATTCAAATAATAAGGTGCTTTTTCCTTTACATTTTTGTGCACTTTTTCCTGTTCAAGTTACTTCCGTTCTGTCTTTCCCTGTCATTCTATCACACCCTGTCATTCTATCACACCGTTTCATTTTTCTCCTAGGCTTATGCTCTGGGTATTTCTGATCAGGTGTCAACCACTAAGGCTGGCAACTTATTTGGAGGTACAGAAACAGGTAATGTTTTCGTAGGAGAAAGCCCGGGCATCCTGAGAGATCACTAGTGTTGCCCAGTTAGATGTCTTCCCGACTTTGCCCTGCACCTTCCAATGAGAAATAATCCATGCAGGGCCTTCCCTGGTGGCTTAATGGGTTGGGATGCAGCACTGCGAGCTGGCCACAGCCACTTCAGTGGAGTTTAATCCTGGCCCCGGAGGTGACCCACATGGCACAGCAGACCTCTCCTGTCTCACCCTCTGCTCTCCTCAGCAGTGTACTTCGCTGATCTGCCCATTCTGTTCCCCAGTCTGACTCTGGTGAATCCTCTCATTGCCCCTGTACTTCTGGCCTGTACCCCAGTTCCGTATGCATAAATAAATAAATCTTGAAAAAAAGAATCCATGTAAACCCCACAGCATGTCCCAAAATGTCTCATTTCCAGGAAGGTGGGAACTGATTTTAATTCATCTTTATTTTCGGCTCCCTGTCCCCCAAACATGGAGGTTGGTGGTACACAGAGAAAGTGTTTGGGTGCATAAAGGTGAACTTGATTTGTGATTTGAGTATTCTGAACCAAAATCTTGAGTTAAAACATGAGAGATTGCTTTGCAAATGTGAATTTCCAATTCTACTCAATGGTATCATATTATTATAATTAAGTGCAGAACTGCTTATATTGTCATCATGGTTACATATGTGGTTGTCAAATAAAGAGGAATAAGGACAGGAAAGAAGAGACCATTGCACAGCACTGCTCTTATGCCTGCATGGGGCGGGGTGGGGGGTGGGGGGGGAGCTAGAAGAAAGATGAGGATAGGAGTTAAGCACATCTCCAGGCCAGAGTCTGATAGGATGCTTTGAAAGATATTCTGAAGATGAAAGACCCTTAATTAGGTTGAGGAAAATTTAAATCCTTGGTTCTTAAGTTTAGTGGGATCACAGAATCCCTTTGAGATTTAAAAAAAAAAAAATCTATGACTTTATCCCCAGGAATAAAAGCACACATGCATAATTTGCTTCCAATTTTAAGGGGTTCATGGACCCCCTGAAACCCTTCCTTTTGCCTATGATTAAGAATTTCTACAAAGGTGATGGGATTTGGGGGCAAGGTGGCAAGAGGAAGCCCCTTAAACAGCCCTAGGAGTGGGACCAGGAGATTGAAGAGACGAGAACTTCAAGCAGAAGTAGAAATAGGAGAAGGAGCTGGCAGAGTTAAAAGCGAAGGTTGCAGAATCTCTGGTGAATCCTCTCACCCCCTGCACCTCTGGCTGACACCCAGTTCTTGAATGCATAAATGAATTAAAAAATAAATCTTTAAAAAATAAAAGCAAAGATTGCAGGAAGAGGCCCCTTGGCCATGGGTGTAATAAGAAATCTGGCAGAGAGTAAACCGTTCCTTGTGCTGAGGCCACAGTGATCCTTAATGTTTTTCCTGTTCAAACGCTGGATTCTCTGCCATAACTTCTGTTGCAGCCAATTGCTAGCATGAAGTGCTTTGGAACCTGTTGTGCATCTAAGAATAAATTAAAATGTCCTTTGACAAATAACAAAGGGGAAAAAAATCTCTACAAAGAAGAAGTGTAGTGTCAGATTACTAACAGAAAGAGCCCATATTGATAAGAAGTGGGTGACATGATTGTAATTCTGAAAGAAACATTAGCTTAACTTATGCAGAAAAGTAAGGATTTTAGGCAGGATGGGGTGTCACTCCGTCTCTGCAGTCTCCAGTCAGCTGTGTCCTTCTGGGCCCTTCACATACACCCAGGCTTGCCTTTCTCAGGACGCCTCACAGCATGCTGTCACTGTCCTGCACCCCAGCCCCAGCAGCTCCAGAAACCTGGGTTTTGTTCTGTCTCCCAGAGAGTGCAGTGCCTGGCATGGATTCCGCAAACATTTGTTGAAGAAGAAATGAACTTGCCAACTTATCGACCATGGCATTTGGGTGTGATTTAATAAAAGTAAGTATTTTTACTTACAGATCCACACATTCCCTTCAATGATCTCAGAAATCGTTTTTCAGTGCACAGCTCCCAGCCCTGGACCTCCACTGGCGGCTAGCACTCCTGGTTCTTTCCCCTTGTGTAGATGAAGGCTCCCCTAAATCCCAATGCCCTCTGAGAACTTCGGATAACACTGCTTAGAAATGCAAAACCTAACCCATATTGTCTCTTCCAAAGACAAAACTCGCTCCTGGGACCAGCCCTGACACCTAGTTCACTGCCGGGCTAGGGCTTCTCTGCTTTCCTGCCTCCCAGACTCTACCCAGGTGAACTCTGGGTCTTGACTCTATCCAGGCCTGGGATTCCCAGCTGTTTTTTTTTGTTGTTGTTGTTTGTTTGTTTGTTTTGTTTTGTTTTGATGCATACAAGAGCTGGGGTACAGGCCAGAGGTGCAGGGGATGAGAGGATTCACCAGGTACAAAGTGGGGAGCAGAACGGACAGATGTACTGAAATACACTGCTGAGGGGAGCAGCAGGTGAGACAGGAGAGGTCTGCTGTGCCATGTGGGTCAGCTCCCTGGCAGGGGGTTGAACTTAGGCTTCATTGGCTGCGGATAGCGTCACAGTGCTGTGCTTTAACTCACTGCACAGCAATTGGGTTTTAAACTCACGACACGGGTTCACTTTGGGAGCCCCCAGGAATGTCTCTCCTGTCACCTCCCAACTGATCATAGAGGGAGGGATCAGACTCAATGCCAATTACAGTCAGATCCTATCTTGGTACAGAGAGGCCATGCCCTGTGCCCACAAATTAAATTCTGGCACAATTACCTTTAAGCCAGTTAATAAAGCAATTATTTTGCCTTAATAACCAGGCAGAATTAATCTTCTATTTAGATTAAATAAATAAGTTTTTACAATTTTGCAAACATTGTTATGAGTTTGTATTGAGCATGAATGCATCTAATTGGGATAGCCAGCCAGCCACCTCTGGGTATTTAACCAAACCAAACAAAAAACACCTAACTCAAAAGAGATCTGCACCCCACATTAACTGCAGCATTATTTATAATAATCGAAGTCAGGAAACAAATGTCCATTGAGAGATGAAAAAAAATGTGATTATATTCATGGCATGTTATATAGGTGTGTTATATATGTGATATATAATGGAATATTATTCCGCCCTTTTGATTTTGACCAATTTTTATGGACACTAATGAGCCCTTTGAAACCCAACCCCTCAAAAGCACAGTCACACATCACAGCAGATCAAAGCTTGTGGAGGAGGGGGCTGGTCCGTAATTACCAGTTTACTGTCGTTACATAGCAATGTGTTAAATAAGATTAAAGAAAACAGTTCACTTGATAATTTATTTTCTTGACTTGCAAGCCCCTGTGAAGATAATATCCAAGTATCTTTGTTCTCTTTGAGTTTAAATTACAAACCTTCTGGGCAGAGCTCTCAGACAGTCTTTTCCTGGATGTGCAAGATGAGGCACTGATCTACCTTGGAGGGAAAGCTGCCTTTTCTCTAAATGGCAACATGTGCAAAGAACACCAAAATCCCATCGCATCCTAGCGAGGCGGGTGAACACTAAGGGAGGCTTGTTACCAAACACGCTTGATTTGAAAATCTAGTTCAATGTTTAAAATCATTTGCACTATCTTAACCTTTGATCTTAGCTCTTTTTTCTTCAGCCCACATGCCCAGCTGTCCATGGCGGGGAGGGGTGGGGAATTTTGAAGCAAATGGAACAGTGTAATCTGGCGTGCCCTTGCGACGAAGAGCGTGCGGCTCCCGGACACCACCTCGCCCTGGGCTCCACCGACTACTTCCAGCCTCTGGCCCACATGTCTCCACACATGCTCGCCCTCCACACCCGTCCACCCCGCCTCATGGGCTTACTTCAGTTCTTCCACACCGGGCCCTGCCACACTTGAAGTTCCCTTGGCCGTCAGGTCACAGACTCACTTGCCTGGGAAGGTTGGACACAGGTGTCTGCAGG